TTGCAGCCTAGATGCCAAAGTGCTGTAGTACAGATCGTCGCTCAGCCACCCGCTTCGCCCGGTGTCCACGGCTCCAACGCGTTGCGTCATCGGACGACTGTGGTGCAACATCGACAGCCCGGGGGCCTTTTATGCGCAGCAGGTTGGAAAGGGAAGCCCCCTTCGCCCGTCAAAGTTTACTGCACCTGTGTGCAAAGTAATTGGTTCCCCACCAACGCTGCAACATGCACATTGTACGCACTCGCAAATCTTATATAAGGCGCTGCGACGACCAGGTGCAGTATTCCACCGCCAGCAAGCCACCAGCAAGCCACCAGACAAGACAAGCCCAGGACCTCCGCAGCCTCCCGCATCGAGGTACCACTGCACCGCTGCACGGGGCCCCCCAGCTCGCCGTCGTCCCCGCGCCGCACCGGGACTCCCAGGACGTCGCCGTCAGTGTCTGCTCGCCGCCGTCCCCGCGCCGCACCGGGACTCCCAGGACACCGACAGTGAAGCCTGGTCGCTGCACCCAGCTGCCCCAGACCCCCTGCTCGCCGTCGTCCCCGCCCTGCACCGGGACCTCCAGGACGCCGTCAGTGGGCAGCGTCTTAGATCGCTAACTACTTAGACAGGTGAGCACTGGGCATGCTTCGAACGTTGACCACGCCGCGCGCACACAACGCGAGAGAGAGTGAGAGAGAGAGAGTGAGATGAGAGAGAGAGAGAGAGAGAGAGAGAGAGAGAGAGAGAGAGAGAGGCGCCGAGCGCCTAGTCTCTCTCTCTCTCTCTCTCTCTCTCTCTCTCTCTCTCTCTCTCTCTCTCTCTCTCTCTCTCTCTACCCCCCCTCCACGAGTGGTCAGAGAGAGCGCGTGAGTCACCCGTATGGAATTGGAAATCTGGAAACGGTCTCTTAGAGGTCTTGTTCTCGTCTTCCCGGGAAGACGAGTTAGCGAGCACGGCCAGACCGATTGGAGACTATAAGTAGACCGATGTAAGACGAGTGCCAGACGAGAACGCGGTCCGTGCAGCCGTCTTCCTCTGGTCTTCCTGCAGTCTGACCGTGGTCTGTCTGCCGTCTGGATTTGGTGCCTTTCCAGACCAGATCCAGACCAGATTCAAACGAGATTCAGCCGCCTACATAAAAACAAACACGCGAGTGGCGGACACTGCGTATCGAACACAGACTGTCCGCGTCGGAAACCGGTGCCCCATGCCGCTGGGCCAGAGCGACATGGTTGAAGGGGTCGAGCGGAGCCGTAGTGTATCTGATTCGACCGGCTGGGTGGAAAGAGCAAGTGCCGCCCGAACTCTGAAGTTCTTCCCGTCTTCTAGTCAACAACACTACGTACGCACTCTATTCAGAGGTTCGTCTGTGTAGGAGGGACGTAACAATATTTATTTGCGCCTTAGTAGTAACCGCGATCACAGATCGCGATGTAGGGGGAGACGTTGTTTTAGAAGACGCACGGTGGGCTAAAACGCCCTTCTGGCGCTCAAAACCTCTTTATTAAAAATCGTTTAAACGGGCAAACTTTGTTTCCATCGGATTGGAAATTTTCCGCAGATTTCAAATCTGGTCTTATTTTTATTGTCAGACCAAAACTACGACCACTACAGGCCGTCAAAGTTAAAATTTGTGATAATGTGTTATTTTTTAGTAAAAAATGCAACAAAACGCCACAGCGATTTTGACGGCTTTGCATCTAGATTTTGAACCCCGGAGGTTCCATTTTAAAGAACAAGTATTCCCGTTCAAAATGATATCCGAGTTATCTTCCTGCGATAATTTGAAGGGTGTTGGTGTGCATATAATCGCTTTATTTGTATAATTTTTACTTTAAAAACAAAAGTTTGAGATCTACTATAGAATCAAGCACTATCAAGCAGGTTTCAGCGCTGGAAATTATCAACCTATGTGTCAATTGAAAGGATCAACAGAGAAAACCTGCGCATATTTGCGCAAACAGTAATACGCGGCTGTGAAACATTAAAAAATTGGCAATTTTCCCCTTTTTGATAGAAAATGCGTCCGAACGAAGAAAGAATCCAAGCAACCGTGTCTCCATCCCAACCGTCCCTTGTCTTTTCACGTGCTATTTGGCTCCTTTTCCCTAGCCCCCCTGCCCCTTCTCTTCAACTAACACTCAAGAAAAGGCCACCCGGAAGTGCAACAGAATTGATGGGAATGCAGATCTTCTGGCTGCAATGTTGTTTCATCTGATTCTGTGATCATCTCTTTCAGAAAAAAAAACCTAAAGCCAAGTCTTAAAAACTGTGTGCCACAGTTCTTTCACTTATAGTTGGCCCCTTTGATGACCAGGCTAATGAGCCTGCCATGTTATTGTTCCATGAAGAGTAAAATGATATATCATTTAAAAATTGGTTTTAGGAAATTGAAGTTTGATAGTTGTTATAAAATCTGTAGCCATGATTTTTTACAGTAATGTTTTTAACAACGTACATATAATTGGCTGAGCGATAGCGAAGCCCTTGCCGTGTTTGGGCGCGCTGAAAAGTGACTGGTCGTGAGTCTGTCTGTGACTTTGTACTCACCAACGATTCTCAGCAACTACAGTAGCTATAGTTTCAAGATTTCGTATTTAACGTCACCTTAGTACCCCCCAACACGAGTTTGTTTCAAATCGTTGTTTAGTATCGTTTGAAATATTCAAAACATACTTTTGAATCAGGTTATTAGCATGGTTAGGTTGGCAGCACTCAGCACTCACGAATTTCTCATACCTGCGGCCGCGGCTCTCAAATACGGGACAGAAGCAAATAAGCAAATAAAACAAAATAACGAGCAGAAGGGTTTGGAAATGAGATCGGCCATAGTTTTTCCACATTCTAGAATGATTAAAACCCTTTTAGGGTATCAACACAGCGAAATATGGAGAATGGCCGTGAAAATGATTTACGTGTTTCGTTCCCCTCTCCCCCTCCCCCTTTCGAGGGGAATCTTCTTCAGGTCAGTGCACTTTGACAGAGCAGTGTAAAAAGAATGTTTTTATTTTGACCTTTTGTATTGTGGGCATCTACTTGTTTCATTTTCTATAGTGTCATCCTCTTTTTTTTAAATTCTCATAGTAGAGGAAATCAGGGAAATGCAAATAACTTGTGTTGAAATTAGCAGGCATACTTAGTTTGGACTCGAGAAATACATTCTATTGCAATGCTGCAAGCTGACAAGAGTGCAAAAGTACTAACATGTGTTTATTAATAGAATCAATGTATGGTTGTGTATATTTAATCCTAATAGAGTTTGAATTGATATTGGGTTCAAAGAGACGACTCAGGTTTTGAGCGGTGAGTGAATTAGTGAATGGATTTAATGAGACGATTCCTTTCACTTCACTGAAGTTAATATAACTGGTACTACTCAGTATTGCATACCTGAGTAAGATAAATTGTGTCGGTTCATTAAGCCTTGGGTAGCCTTGGCATTGGACTCTATATGACGAATCACTGGATTTGACAATAATTGGTCCCCGTTAACTGGTTCAGATCAGCCTACCCTAAACTGACTCTCTTAATATTAACTGTGATAACGTATGCCAATCAATATTGTTTTATTCACTGGTTCACAATGAAAGAATGACAAAATGTTTCATAGATATTACTTATAAAATTGAGAATTCATTAGTTAAGAAAAAAGAGATATCGAATAGTGACCCAATCATACGAGTAATCAATTAAGCGATTCAATGCTGGCAATTGAATGTTACTCGACTGAGGGATTCACATTGGTGTGGCATCAGGGAATTGGTGATGACAGAGGGTGCTTCATGAAGACAGTGTACACTGTCCCAAAAGTAAAGTCAAATCGACGAACTTCTCTTAGTCGATTTTACTAACTAAATAGTTTAGTCGATTTGACAAAGAGATGGTCGATTAGGTCGATTTTTTTCACGTAGGTGAATTTTTCATACCAACTATGACGTCACTTGCGCCGTCAGCGCTCCGTGCGCTCAGGTGGCCGGTCGGTCAGTTGTCAATCATTGCGGCGACCTTGACCTACAACCATGGACGCAGACGTGTCCGCGCTGCTGACAGCCTGGGGACTGGACCAGCTGATCGCTACTTTTGGGTGGTAAGCGTAAATTTTAGTGCTTCTTTCTACTTCGTTTTTTTTAATGCCTCACTGCACGCATGAATCAAAATTAGTATGGATTCGTTTTTCTATTGCTTTGTACGACCGGAAAGTTAAATTTGAATTTCGCTCCTTAACCTGTCTCCCAACTGCCGAAGCATGGTTCGCGTGATTCTCGTCACTTGTTTTAGCCGTTCTTGTGCTTTAGCCGTCGCATCAGATCACATTGCCTTGTTTTAAGTCAGATTCATCCAGTTTATTCCCCTTTTGGGCTTGTCGCGATGGTTTCCATAACATCGCGTCCGTAGAGATTTTTATGTCGCGTTGTTGGCCTTACTCCCGTCCCCGTCTCGGGTGGAAGGAGAGGTTATGGTTTCTTGTCTGAGAACAAGTTTGAGTTTCAGTTCTTTGACTGGCTATCTGTCTGCAGCCGTAGTTTCCATAGTTTTACCATGAGTTTAATGTGTGATCTGTGTGAGGGTCGAATTCGTTTCAGAATGGTGTCAAATCGTTGGTCAAAGTAAGCGTCAAGGGAAGGGAAAGAAAGTTTTGCGTGGATCAGCCGGCCGGTGTCAAAGACGGTCAATGACCCATCTAGAGACCAAAACAATGATTACCCCAACTATGTAGGCGCTAGGATTTTCCTATTTCCCCAACCTAGCCATACTTTTGTTTGAGCTGCTTTCTATTGTGTTTCACACCCACCTGCTAATAGGTTTCATTGCCTTGTGTCCGTATTTAATAATCAAGTTTATATGGAGCTTAGCTGTGCCAGTCCTGTATTTTGATCCACTTTGTCTCAAAATTATGTTGTTGAATTAGCCAAAGCAATCCTGCTCTGACTTAGATGAAATGTTGGTGGTTAAATAACCTAGACTCTTTCTTGTGGTTACACGACTAACCTTTTTATTGTTTACAGATCAAGACATATCGCTGGAGGTTTTGAGGACCATCGATGGGCAGCTTCTAAAGGAACTGATACCTTCCATTGGCCTACGGTCTACTTTCATCTCGAAGAGAGAACAGGTAGCGTATGTCTTGCAGTTGGGCATTTCTGTTGCTTAACTTCTGGTGTCATAGTCCCTAATTTTTTGTGTTTTTGTGTTTTCTGTGTTACAGTTCTTGAAAAGCAGGGAACGGAGTCATTTGATGGTGAGTTTATTTTTTTAAACCCTTTTAAAATCTTCATTGAAACCATTCAATATTTACCTGTTAATTTTTTTTTTTTTTTTACTTTTGTTTAGGAACCAGAATCTACACCTGGCGGGTCAGTTGAGGTTCTAGCGATACATCACATTTCATCAAACACTACTGTAGTCGGACCAAGTTCACCGCTTATTCCAACGCCAACTCCTTCCACTTCAGTTCCAACATGCTCTTCAGTTTCAACGCGCTTTTCAGTTCCAACGCGCTCTTCAGTTCCAACTTCCAGTTCAGTTCCAACTTCCAGTTCAGTTGCAACCAGCCCAGTGGCATCAAGTTCTAAATCTGTAATTTTTTACTCTCCAATATTATTATGTGAGGGGGCGGTAGCACTTGATGCAAAATATGTGAGGTATGTTCAATTTTTTCATAATCTTTTGTTTAAGTTGTAGACTTACATCTGTGTTTCAACAGAAACTTATTTCCCTTCCAATTGAACATTATTGATTGAAATGTATCCTTTTTAAGTGTGTCTTATGGTTTTATTTCATTTCTTACAATATTTTAAATAGTTTTGTTTTTCAATGAAATAGTTTTGTCAATTAAAATGGCACAATTGATACAGACACAAACTATTTTTTCAACGGTAATGGTTCCATTTAAAGGCCTTCATATGTAGAATTGGTGAAAAAGATTTTATGCGCATACTTTACAAGACCTCTAAATATCTGTGAGCAGTGAATCTGTCTTGGTTTTTTGTACCATTTTTCAATGCAATGTTGGCCTGGCCACGAACATATTTAAAGTACTTCACATGCTTTTTATAGAGAAATGGTCCCTGAAGTAGCATGTTTCTTTTGGGAAAATTTATTTGTCACATACTTACACAAAAAAATTTTGCAACCCATTGAAAATACCTCATATTATTTCTTGCTTCCAGTGTGCCTACCTTCATAATTGCTGCAATATATGTTCTTACCTTGTCTTATTCTACCCTCAGACTACTTCTTCCTTCGAAAAAGGTGTAGCTGCTAAATTTTTGCCTGAACAAATTCATTGCTGATATTGTAAGTTCCTTTATTTTGTGTTTGTGTTTTTGTGTGCACACGAATGTTTTCAAAGTGTTCAAAGTTTGTTTCAATTGTTACAGGACATTGATGCTGTTTTAAATAAACATGTCTCAGCTTCTGCTGCTGTTCCTTACTATGAACAAAATTTGCTTCTCTGTGGAACTCATCGTACGGGCATTGTGGATGCGCTTATGGTGCATTTGTTTGTTCACGCCAGGGACTTTGGTTGTGTTGACAGGTATGTGAAACCTCAACTACTGTTCTCATTCTGCCTTCATCAGTCTTTTTGGAGTAAAATTATTACTTTTCTTTTTTACAGTATAAAAAATGATCACTTAAGCTTACTCGCTGACAGAATTATTGATCGATTTACTTGTGAGAAAAAGGTAAGTTGAACTTTTTATCCTATCATTTTCCCGTCTTGTCTGAACTCTCTACTATGGTATTAATAATCATTATTATTTTGTCTGTTCAGAGTACTTATTACATCCCACCCTCTGGCAGAAGTGTTGCAACAGGCAAATTGTCGCACAAGTTAAGGAATTTAAGGAGGAAACCAGCTAACTCACAATCCAAGGAAAGTATCTCAGAGGAGAGTGTTGATGATCCAGCTGAGCGTCTTCGCTGTGCTCCTAAAGGTCAGTAATTCAAGCTTTGTTTTTGGCAGGAAATACTCCAAAGTAGCTTGTATTTATTTGAACTTCTGTTTTTCTATCTTCATACAGATCCCAATGTGGATTTAGAAGCTGCCATCAACTTCCTGGCGTTTACAAGGTCTCCATGGACTGAAGTTGAGGAGAAGTGGGTTTCAACCCATCAATACCGCCTGAACCAGTTGAAGACTGAGCCTTACTTGGACAAGTACTTTGCATCGTGGCCAGTCCTGCAATCACCATCAGGATGTACTCTGGTATGTAACATTTTTGAGAGTCCTGTTTGTTCCTGTTCTGGTGTTTTTTGGCCCCTTTTGATTTTTTGTTTTTCTTTCAGCTTGAAGCTGATTTCAATTCTTTGTGGCCTGGTCGAAACTCTGTGATCTTTAGCAAATGGCCATTATTTGAGGAAAAGCTCTTGAAGCTGGCAGAGAAAGATGTCAAAGACCAGACAAGCAAGGCAATTTTGAGTCTGCTGAAGCCCAACACCTCTTCAGGTAGGTTTCAGCGTGGCTGGATTTATTTCTCTTTGGCCCTGGGTCGACAAATTTTGAGGGGAGGGTGCCTTTTATCAGGAAAGACTCCACGCTGGGGCATGATTTTGAGCAAATTGAAGGAACGTTTTTGTTTGTTGGTTTTTCATTCAGTATGTTACTATAAAGATTTTATAAATTTGAAGAATTTGAAGTGGTGATTATAATTAAAATTCTAAATCTTCTTAAGTTTTTTTCTTGTTAAGTGTTGTTTAAAATATTGTGATGCATTTTAGTGGACTGTAACAATATTTCTCTTTTACCTGGGAAAATCTAATTTCGCAAATGTCTCATCATTTCTTGTTGTCAGATGTAACACAAATTAAGCAACTTTCTTTTCCTTTGTTTTAGATGGTCGTACTGCCATAGCATTCAGTATCCTCCCAGCCCTATGTCCGCCAACTAGGAAGATAAAGTTAAACAACGGAAAGCTATGGTTACCCTCAATAGCAGAAGCACGGTCTTCAATGATTCTTCATGCACAGGTTTGTTGAAGTTTGCATTCAGAGAGGAGGGATATTGTAGCCACAATGTATTTTATTTAATGAAACGAAGTCCTTCATCAATAGTACTTGGAGATTGGCCCATTGAGCCTATTTTGATACGATTCACTCCTAGTGCTCCCACAATGGACTCATAGTTAAGGTAATGTTTTAAATGTTTCATTGGTAGGGGGTGGTAAGCCATATGGTTACTCGAAGTACTCGAAGTCTGATAAAGTCTTGAAGAGAACATTATTCCTTATGCTTTAAGACTAATTTTAGTTTTTCATCACCACATAATATAAATTATAACCAAAATAAAATTGTCTTATGTAACTTATTCAAATTAACAATTTTACTTTGGTTATAATGTATATCATGTGGTGATGAACAGACTAAAATTAGTTTTAGAGCATAAGGAAAAATGTTTTCTACAAGACAATATCACACTTTGATTACAGAGATGAACCATGTAGCTTACAACCCCCTACCAATGAAACACTAAAAACATAAGTGATGAGTTCATTGTAGGAGCACCTTCCAGTTGAAATTTTTTTGCTAACGGCAGTTTAGATTGAAGTAATATTTCCAAATGTTGTTTTTTTTAGTACAAATTATGTGTGGAGTCTACATGACTAACATTCGAAAATATTCCATATATTGGGCTACAATGAAACCCCTTCTTCCTCTCTTTAGGCCCCACCTTATACTTCAGACTGAGAAAATATTGCGCTTTGTTTTTGTTTCAGAATGCTAATAAGGTTCGCTTAACTTTAAAGGAAAACACTGATAGACTTTTTAAACAGGGGCAGAGGGTGCAGCCTCTGATAATTGTTGTAGGTCCCACCTTGGACAAAATAACCAAGAGTTATGTCTGCATCGACAAGACCTTGTGGGCTACTAGCTGTGTGATGAAATCCATTGACGTTTGTTTCAAAGCTGTGTTTGCAACAGAAAGTGAGTACCCCGGACAGTCTCAGCACTTTTGGGAAGCCATTCAAAAATCTATTTACAAAATGAAAACTGTGCATGACAAGTGTCAAACCCCTTTGGACAATATTTTTAAATCTCACTGTGAGTGATAGTCATTTGGATTGTTTTTCCCCATACCCTCTTGGTTTTTTTTTCTTCTCTTTAGTTAAGTTTATTTTGTTGTTTCTTTGTTGTTGTTAATGTAGTTTTGTTACTATGGCCTTTTTTTGTTTTGTTTTGATGCATTGCATCCTACCATTCCACAACTGATGCAGCACTACAGAGATGCTCATTATTTTGGGGGTGCACGTTTTTAAGTATTTCCCTGTCGGCAACCAGGGTGGGGAGGTTCTATGACAGACTAGAGTCGTTAGCTAATCATTTACAAACCCCTGTAATGACATAGATTTAAGGGGCAGTAGCGTCATTTGCACGTGTTTTGACGTTTTTGAACCTCCTGTTTAGACGTTAAAATAAAGATAAGTATGAATGCCAGAGACAAACGGCAGGAACCATTTTAAAGATAAAAGTTTTTACAACATTTTCAAAAAAAAATATTTTTTTTTAGCATTGAATTAGGATGTTTTGTGTTCTATGCAAAAATGGTCTGCAAAATTACATGGTGTCACTGCGCGCACGATTTCAGCCAAAGTTTTTAACTTTTTACCAATCGGGAAAATGCATCTGAAAAAGCATGAAATTGCCCATAAAAAGACCCTTTGGGGTTTTAAAATTGGGCAAGAAAAAATATTGAAACGCTCATCTTCAACTTAAGATGGAAACGAACCACATTTTTTCTGGCCCATATTAAAACCCAAAGGGGCTTTATGGGCAATTTCATGCTTTTTTAGATGCTTTTACCGATTGGTAAAAAGTTAAAAACTTTTGGGTGCAATCGTGCGCGCAGTGAAACCATGTAATTTTGCAGACCATTTTTGCATATAACACAAAACATCCTAATTCAATGCTAAAACAAAAATTTTTTTTGAAAATGTTGTAAAAACTTTTATCTTTCAAATGGTGCCTGCCGTTTGCCTCTGGCATTCATACTTATCTTTTATTAACGTCTAAACAGGGGGTTCGAAAATCGTCAAAACACGTGCAAAAGACGCTACTGCCCCCTTAAATATTGTAAACTATGATAAAGTGATATAATGAATTTGTAATATTTGATGATGTGGATCAAATTGATATTGAGCCTGTTCAACCTGTTTAACCTATTGAACCTATTGATCATGTTGCAATAAATGAAGATAGAGCTCCATTGACCTTAGAAGAATTTGTTATTTTAGTGAGCTCATCGGCTTTGAGATTCGTTGCCAAATTATATGCAGACCCTGTGTTGCCAAGAGGTCTTATACAAACAATTATTAACCATTTCAATAGTTTTTTGACGGGCTCTTATCTACCTCATCTTAAGGGCGTAGGAGCGGGTGGCTACTCTGAGAATGGTAGCATCCGAGAGCGTTTTCGGGTGCATCCGCAGTCGTCTGAGGCCGGGGCCCCGATGCCCCGTAGACCTGGTTCGCAGACAATGCACCCTCGGCCGGCTGTTTATGGCCGGCCTGCCGGAGTGCGGGTGAATGACACCCCGGCACGGGGCTCGGCCTGGGCCGCACGGAGCAGATCGCCAGCTTTTCGTGAGTTCGGCTAGTTCGGGGTCAGTCTTCAACTCCTAAGTCCAAGTTTCAGGTCAAAATCAAAAGTTTTGACCAAATTTGACAAAATATGTTTTGCGAAGTACTGATTATTTCTATGTAGCTAAAAAAGTTGTTTTCGTTGCTCTGTTAAAAGTGGCCGCAGAAACTTAATTTTTAGATGGAAAGATCAAAAATTTCATCCCGAGTACAATGGTGAACATCCCATGAGTGTCAAACGACGCGTTAGAAAAATTTTAGCTTTCAGGTAGCGAAGGGACCGCCTCCCTTTTGTGTGGAGAGGCTTGCTTCACAATGGGCTGCGCCGAGGCGACGATGATGACAGGCTGATTTATTACCCCAGGCCCAAAATACAAATTTTCAAACGAGCCTTTTCGCGTTTTTGGAACATGCGGCAATGGATTCTTCGTTGAAAGCTGGGTCTAATGGTGTTTGAATTTTTGTTCTACGATAATTTCTGCCAAAATCGCGACGAAAATCGGCCAAAACTGGTCGGGGCCCGGTGCCGCCTGCCTTGCAGACGGATCCTCGACGGCTCCCCTATTGTCCGCCCGGCGCGTCACCCCGGACCCCGACTACCTGCCCCGAGCTCGCTGTGCGACAGAAACAACACATCGGCCGAAGCAGCCTGTCTCTCTCTACTGGTGCAGGACCTTCAAATCTGAGTGATTTTCTAGACCACACGACGCGAGTACCACACCTCCTAGAGGAATGGAAAAAACTTGCCCGTGCAGACAAAGGCATGGCCTAGGGGATGTGATGGTCCATTTTTTCGCTATTTCATTAGATTCCGCTCGGGAGCTTCCTAAAAATCACTCTTTTTCAAGGCGTTCCAGACGTTAATAGAAGTTCGAGCGCAAATTGGAATAGACCATCCCCTGCATACAGTCCCTGCCAACAAGTGTGCAAAGTTTCAAGACAAAGTCTCAAAATAAATTTTAAAGCAAGACAAGCTTCAGGCATTTCGAGTAGGGAAGTTCGAATCAGACAGATGGATCGGAACCCACTTATCGGAACCCACTTGGGTTGTGTAATTCAACGAAAAAAAAAAGGAAATGATAAATAAAATGGAAACAAATTATTTGAACACAGGTAAACATAACCTGCACTCAGTAAGAGACCGTTTGACAGCCTACACACATTCTGGAGCAAAGAATATCACAAAACGTTTCAGAATAAAGCGAAAAACCCCCTTTAAAGCAAAGCCGATGATATGAAGGCAATACTTGCCTTTAAGACGACAAGAAGTACCAAACGATACAAACAACTTCTCGACCCCCGGGCCGATGTCTCACCAACGTAAACAAGACTGACCGATTTTTCATATCCTGTTCACTCAAGCAGACGACAGAAATTTTATTTTGTTTGTATGAATCGTCACGTGTCTCGTGGAGCCAATCAGGCACGATCCTGACCTCGTAATGTCAATATAACGACTGCCTCGTCGAATCGACTAAAACCAAGAACACGTCATCAAAACGTCAGGGTCGATGACGTTGTAGCCCTGTGACGTCACAGTCAGGAACAAGTGCCGGTCGACCAAATCTCTTCGTCAAAAATCGACTAAACATTCGTCAAAGTGACCAATATTTCGTGAAAATGACAGTCAAACCAGAGTCAAAACGGGGGTCGTAGATTCGACAAAATTTTAGTGACCCCGTGAAACGACGAATTTTATTCGTCAGATCGACTAAGGTTTAGTCGATTTGAACTTACTTTGGGGACAGTGTAGGAATGTACAGAAATTGAGTCTAGATAGTTGTTTGTAGATTTCAGTGTACTAGTCACAAAAGCTACATTTATTTCAATGCCAAACCCACACTTTCACCTAGAGCTACGCAATTTGGGGCAAACTTTCTAATTTGAGAGTCATGCGTTTCCCTGCAGTTTTCAGTGCGCTGACTTCAATATTGACTTCTAAATTGTCCCCAGACCCAAATTTTAAACCCATTTTTGGGGCAAATTTTTTTAAAATTTAATTGCACATTGTTCTTGCAGTTTTTTTTAGTGCTGATAGCAAAAATCACTTCCATTTTGAAACAGACTTATATTTTCATCCGAAACGAGGTCATTTTGGACCAAAATTTTCAAGTCGAGTCTTATATTATTTCCTGCAGTTTTTGGTGTGCTGAACTCAAAAGACTTCCAAATTTTCCCAGACTCACACTTACCCGAATTTGACCAATTTTGGACCAAATTTTAAATCGAGTTTGACATTGATCCCAGCAGTTTTTGGTGTGCTGATAACGAAAATCACTCTCATTTCGACTCCAGACTTATATTTTCATCCCAAATTAGGGCATTTTGGACCCAAAAATTTTTAAGTCGAGTTATATATTGTTTCCTGCAGTTTTTGATGTGCTGAACTCAAAAATGACCTTCAAACTTTTCCCAGACTCACATTTAACCGAATTTTAACCCATTTTGGACCAAAATTTTTTTAAAACGAGTTTGGCATTGATCCCAGCAGTTTTTGGTGTTCTGATAACGAAAATCACTTCCATTTGTACCCCTGGTCTAAAGTTCACTCAATATGAGTCCTTAAGATGCACATTTCGTCTTCTCAAGCAAAGTCCAAAGTGCACAAACCATGTCAATTCGCATCGCTCAGCCACACTACGCGCCCAGACTAAACGGCGCGTACCCCTAGTTTAAGTGATGTTTTTGACTCCTTTTTGACTCCTTTAAAGTAGTACATCAGTTACAAACAAAGTATTACATGGTAGGTGGGTCATTCCACGCCAAGTCGTCAAGGTTTTGAGGGACGTGTCGGCCGAACCCAGCGGTATTTTCAGGGATTGTTGGCCCTATGGGCCCATTGAAGGCCCGGTACTTTTTTCCCCGGAAAGTCGACAGGGGTCTGAGATATCTCAAACTTCATTTTTGGCAAAAAAAATTACCTATCGACCTAAAAAAATTTATACCTCGGAAAGTATTTGTCCTTTCTCAAAACCGCTTATACCGTTGGAAAGAGGAAGAAAAACTGAAAAAGATAGGATTTTTTCCAAAAATTCTTGGAAACTTTTACTTTTTGCACTTTTATAGTGAAATGTTAAAAATTATGCAACTTTTTTGTACCCTGATCAAAAATGGCGTTCTATGGCTCAAAATGTACCTTGATATGTCCTCTAAACGAAAAGATCAACGCCCCAATGTATTTTTTTTAGTTCCGGAGAACGAGCGGTTCTTGTGGACCACTGCAAGGCTACTTTCCCGCTGGAACGGCTCCCACGCCACGCTCGCCTTCTCTGATGTTAGCGGACGTGATCGCCAGGGTTCGGCGACCGTCAGGTAGGGGGATTCCCACCTCACTTTCCAGCCCACTAAGGGGAAGCGCTGGACCTCAGCGCCTGAAGGGCAAGCAAGGGAGAGACTGGGAAGCACGAAGGGTCACCTACACACACATTTTTTTTTGGGGGGTTGGCCGCGCGACTGTGCTCCGCGGTGCGCGTCGCCGCCGGTGGCGGACTGCGGAACTAACGAACTTGGTGGTGTGTGTTCGTTTCTGACCATCGCTTGTTTGGATTAGGTGTCAGGCAGAAAGGTTCGGATACTTGCTGAATCTCGCCCTGTGTTTTCCTGGCAGTTTGAGGTGAACTATGTAAATTCTATAGAAAAGGCATATTTGCAATATTTGCAACGCACCAAACGTGGTTGGCACCCATTTGACCACACCAGTTGGTGCGGTATAGACCACGTCCAGAAACCAAGTGCGTATCCTAACAACTTAAGGGGCTGGCTGCCGGGGCGGG